TGCAAAACCGGTACATTGACACTGATACAACGCTATTCAGTGAGCTACAGGCCTCCTTCACATCTCACCAGTTTTTACACGCTTTTTTGGGGGTCTATAGAGATACCGGTGGGCAGGATGAGGTCCCCAAGTGCCATCCGCACCTTAGCTCCGCCGGCCAGTGTCCAGGCTCTTGCACCGTCAGGAGAGGGATTCGAGGGCATTCAAGGAGGAGTAGGAAGTCAGCGGAAGTACGGAGATTAACGCAAAGTGCAAAGTGCACACTCCAGGAAGAAAGGGCAGTGCGGACGTACTCAGGAGAGTCAGGCACGAGGGGGCTTGGGGTGCCACCTTTATGGGTTCCCTTAACCAGGAATATTCATGAAGATTCCCGGAAAAAGTGGAGATTCCTTGGAACTGTGGTACCACCCATTTTTACACCAAATATGGCTGTTCTGGGAACTGTCAGGGCACTGGTGGGTGTGGGATTTGTATGCTAATGAGCATATAATGAGGTCCTAGGTGAAACCTAGGTCAGATCCAGCACCATATTGGGTCCAGCAGCTCTTAGCCAGCTTGGTCCACACCGTTTTTCAGGGTCTTATCAGCCATAGCTTCTGCAGCTATTTCAACAGTTGCCTTTTGCTAGTCATGTGAAACTACTGCCTGGAATTTTCTCTCCTCCTGCAACCACCCGTATTATTCCTGTCTCAGTGCTACGAAACTTTATCACCCATAGAAGTTTAGGAAAGCACCATTACAGTTAAGATACAAAATAGTTTCGACACCACAAAGAATCCCTTGTGCTGTATCTTTTTAGTCAGACCTTCCCCCAACCCGTATGTGTATGTATGTATGTATTGTGTATGTAAGTATATGTATGTATGTGTGTATTATGTATGTATGTAACTATATGTATGTATGTAAGTATATGTGTGTATGTATGTATGTATTGTGTATGTATGTAAGTATATGTATGTATGTAAGTATATGTGTGTATGTATGTATATATTGTGTATGTATGTAAGTATATGTATGTATGTATGTATTATGTATGTATGTAAGTATATGCATGTATTGTGTATGTATGTAAGTATATGTATGCATGTATGTATGCATTGTGTATGTATGTAAGTATATGTATGCATGTATTATGTATGTATGCATGTATTATGTATGTAAGTATATGTATGTATGTATGTATTGTGTATGCATGTAAGTATATGTATGCATGCATGTATGTATTGTGTATGTATGTAAGTATATGTATGTATGTATGTACGTATATATTTGTTTGTTTTGTAGAGATGAGGTCTCACTATGTTGCCAAAGGCTGGTCTTGAACTCCCAGCATTCCTATGATTGGAATTCCAGAAAAAGAGGACATAGGGTGCTGAAAATTTGTTTCTTTTTTCTTTCTTTTGAGATAAGGTCTCTGTTGACTAGGTAGGAGTGCAGTAATGTGATCCTTCTCGGTGATCTGCTCCTGGGCAATTCTATTGCTGAGGCCTTCCAAAGTGTTGGGATTATAGGCCTCAGTCACCACACCCAGCCTCCCCCAACTTTCTCTCTTGACTATTACTGATCTGTTCTCCATCACTACAATTATGTAATTTCAAGAGTTGATATAGAATCCTACAGCATGAAACCTTTTGAGATTGATTTTTCAAACTCAGCATAGTATCTGTGGGGTCCATCCAAGTTTACTGTAGTTTGTTCCTTTTTGTGGCTAAGTATTCCATTATACGGATGTGCCACTGCTTGTTACCCATTTGCCCACTGAAGGACATTTGTATTGTTTCCAGTTGTAGTTTATTACTAATAAAGCTGCTATGAATACTCTCCTATGGGTTTTTGTGTGGAATATTTTATTTGTAATATTCAAGAATATGGTGGTAGCTAGATTGTATATGGTAAGTGTATTTTTTACTTTATAAAAAACTGTTTTCCAGGGTTTAGATAACCTTTAACATTCTACCAGCAATGTATAAGAAATTCAGTTTCTCCAATTTTTGCCAACACTTGGTAGTGTGCTTTTTATTTTAGTCCTTCTTGTAGCTCTGTATGTTTATGTTTGCCTCATTATGTTTAGATTTGGCTGTTTCTGATGTCTAGTGATGTTGAATATCTTTTCATTTGCTTATTTGTATCTATATCTCTCCTTTGATGAAGTTTCTGTTCAAATATTTTTCCCTTTTTAATTTTTTTTAGATGGGGTCTTGCTATGTCTATCAGGCTGGTCTTCAATTCTTGGGCTCAAGTACTCCTTGCTCCTTGGAATCCTGGCTAGTTGGGACTACAGGTTTATGCCACTGTGCCTGGCAATTTTTTTTTTTTTTGGTCCAGTGGAAGCCCATTTATTCCAATATTATCTATAGAAACTTCTACTCTTTCTTCATTTAATTGCTCTTGCATCTTTGTCAAAAAATCAGTTGGGAACACTTGTGTGGGTCTTTTTCTGTATTATAATTTCCATTGATGTATGAATCTGTTTTTTTTTTAGTACTGTACAGTTTTGATATTGTAGATATATAGTATAATATTGGCCTTGGCCTCCCAAAGTGCTGGGATTACAGGCGTGAGTTGCTGCGCCCAGGTGGCGGGAAATTGCATTTTTCATGCACTAACTCAGGGAATCTTTAATTGGGATAGGAGCCACATTAACTGATTTTACATAAATTGTTTGTTTCCTAATATTTTGTATTTCTCATTCAGCTTTATTATCTCTAAACTCACCTTTCTGCTTTTCTTTCCTATGTTCTGCTCCTAAATGTGAAACGATTAATAGTATGACTTCCATTCGTTCTTGTGACCGGGACCATTGCCATTTGTATTCGCTAATTTGCAAAACAAAATTTACCACTATTGATTTCTTAAGGTAAGTTTCACTTTCCTAATTTTATATTACAACTATCTTAGGAGTACATATTGATGCATTTTCTTAAAACTTTCATCATTTTGTTAAACATGGTGTCATTTTGATAGCTGTCATTTTTCCCTTCCTTTTTTTAGGGTCCTTTAAGATTTCCACATCTGTATCCTGACAGGAGGGTGAAGTATTGTTTTAAACTGGTCTGTTTTTCAGTGGCCTTTAGAAAATGGTTCACAAAATTTTTATAGTTGGCGTATTCTATCGTATGATTTACTTGCCTTGGAAGACCTAGTGGGAGTGCAAATGTTTTGACCCCAAGTTAGAAGTTATGGAGAAGAGGTTTCCTTCCTTCCTTCTTTCTTTCTTCTTTCTCTTTTCCTTCCTTCCTTCCTCCCTCCCTCCCTCCCTCCCTCCCTCCCTCCCTCCCTCCCTCCCTCCCTCCCTCCTTCCTTCCTTCCTTCCTTCCTTCCTTCCTTCCTTCCTTCCTTCCTTCCTTCCTTCTTCCTTCCTTCTTCCTTCCTTTTTTTTGTACTTTAAATTCTAGGGTACATGTGTGGAACATGCAGGTTTGTTATATAGGTATACATGTGCCATGGTGGTTGGCTGCATCAATCACCCCATCATCTACATTAGGTATTTCTTCCAATGCTATCCCTCTCCTAACCCCCTACCCCTCAACAGTCCCTGGTGTGTGATGTTCCCTGGATACAGAGAGGTTTCTATGAATCTTTTTCTTCTGAATTCTTGCTTCAGTGAGACATACACACAGATACGGAGTCAGCTGAGCTGGGTTGATGAAGCATATCTACTGTTTTTTTAGTAATTGCCTTGACAGGGTCACTGCTTCTTACCAGAAATCCGAGAGAAGTTGCATTAGTCATACCCTTATAAAACCTAGTGGTGGCCAGGCACAGTGGCTCCTGCCTGTAATCCCTGCACTTTGGGAGGCCAAGGCAGTGGATCACCTGAGGTCGGGATTTGAAACCAGCCTGGCCAACATGGTGAAACCCCGTCTCTACTAAAAAATACATGCCTGTAATCCCAGCTACTCAAGAGGCTGAGACATGAGAATTGATTGAATCCAGGAGGAGGAGGTTGTAGTGAGCCAAGATCATGCCACTGCCCTCCAGCCTGGGTGAAGAGTGAGAAAAAACAAAACAAAACAAAACACCTACTAGTTAGCTGTCAGATGGACCAGAGAGAGCTATAGAAAAAAAAAATGACATGAGAATGACAAAAATCTAATACTTTTAACTATGTGAAAATCTTTCTGGTCAAAAATTTTTCCTGATAATGGCATAATGTGTGCAAGAGGTATGCCAACTAAGGCTGATAAAATCTCTAAATGTGTATTTTCTACAGATGACAGAAGCAATTTACAATATAACAATCCATGTTCAATATCTGTCCTCCGTCCTCTTTTCTCTCTCTCTCTTTCTGGCAACTCAGTTTTGCTAAATCTATGCAGTTGATCAAAGTCCTAAGGATTCTGTGACTTCTAAAATGAACTTATCCATTTTAGGGCTGTGAGATCACAGTAGACAGCCATCCAGTGGATTAGACTGTGCTAGAAATTGTGGAGCTACTCTTTCAGCAGATCAGTATGAAACTGGAAGACATCTAGTTAGTTCAAAGAATTTGATAATTAGAATTACAGACTCTCGGGAAGCCTGTTTGGAAGGGACCATAAAGATAATTTATTCTAATTACCCAGCGGTTTCTGGAGGCTCTCCTCTGCAGCATTCTCACTGAACGAACCTTAAACTCTTGCTTAAACTCTTTGGGCCTCCACTTGTCCTTATTTCTAAGATAAAATTTTTACTTTGTACCTTCCATTCACTGATCTATTTTTGGGCTGTACAAAACATTCTAATCCTTTATGAACTTTCACCTATTTGAAAGTAAGGCTCATTGTTTCCCTATGTTTGTTTTCCCAGGGAATTCTGCAACTTCCTGTTCACTTGAGTCTTTCTCTCCTGAAGGCATTTCGTTTATCCACATCCCATGATAGAACTGAATGTAATATTCAGGGTGTGGACAAACCAGCACAGAATAGAATGGCATAAAAATGAAATTTCTAAAAATGATTCTTTTAAAATAGACTAAAATAAATTAACTCTCTTGGATGTTTGAAAGACACATCCCACAACTACTTATTTGTATCTCTATATTCTTGCTGCTTAGCTTCCTTCTCCTCACTTTTCTTTGGAAAGGGCTCTTTCCAAGTTCATTAGTCATCTCCAAAGAGCAACGACAGTGTTCTTTCAGTCCGTGTTTTCCTTGAAGTCTCAGCTATCCTTTAATCCCCCATTTTTCCTCAAAACTAGAATCTTCCTTGATTATTGAAACATTCCATGATGCAGGTTTTCCTTCTGTCTTCCTATCCCTTAGTTAAATTTCTTCAGTGTATTGTATCTAACACTCAGTCCTTGGACTTCTGCTTTTGCTAAGTCCTGTATTTTCTCCTTTGAAGAACTCATGCTAATGGCTTCAATTGTAACCTGTATTCTTCTAACTCCAGATCTCTCTTGAATGACAAATATTATTGCTTATTCCCCTAAAACAACAATTTGTTATTCCCTCCCTGTCCAATAACGATCTCCTAGTTTGTTTGCTACCTAGTTTCAAAAGTTTTGAAACCAATGTGTTTTTCTCTTTTCCTTACTCTTATGCAGTCAGTCATGAAGTAGTAATTCTTCTTTGAATTTTCTTCTATTTATTCTTTTTCCATTTACTTACTCCAAGTACTTCTTAATTAGATTTACTACCTATGATGTTTCTTGTTTTCATCTTATTTTTCACAATCACAAGAGTAACTATTTTTAAAATGATACCACTTTATTCATCTCACTCTGCCTCTTAAATATTATAGAATGCTTCCAGTTGCCTGAAAAGGCACACGCCACCATGCCCAGCTAATTTTTGTATTTTTAGTAGAGACGGGGTTCCACCATGTTGACCGGGATGGTCTCGATCTGTTGACCTCGTGATCCACCCACCTTGGCCTCCCAAAGTGCTGGGATTACAGGCTTGAGCCACCGCGCCCGGCCAGCACATCTCCATCTTATTTATCTGCTGTGATACGCTGTATACCACTATTCCCTTCCCATGAAGTTACCACCTTCACTTTCTCATCCCACCGTGGATTATGTTGTCCATCTAAACTATTCTTTTGTAACTTAGATTCTACTTAAAAAAATTGCCATGTATACAGTGATGACTATATATGTTATAAGCTGCTTGATCACAGGAACTCTGACTTGTGTTTTTCTGCACACCCCTTATTGCTATACCAGCGCCTTGCAAACATTAGGCTTGCCATGAGGAGTTATTGGCTGGGGAGGCTATCATAGACATACTTGTCGAAGGAAATTACTATATATTTCTTTAATTAAAATGTTTTACTTGAGAAAGTATCCAGTCTTTCTTGACTGAATCACATATGTATTAAGTTACAAAACAAATATTTGGAAACTGAGGTTTGTGGCTGAGAGATTTAAAAGTTTCTAAAGAGCAGAAACTGTGATATGAAGATGAAAGGGATTTTATAATTATAATCTGTTTAGGCAATGGCTGGGATATAGTTTGCATCTGGAGGATGGAAATCATAATAATCACTTGTCTTGTAGGCCTTTAAACACTTTATCCTTATTCCACTTTTTTGTCTTACTTCCTTCCTTTACTTGCCTTTGCCCTTTTCGAGTCTTTTGATTTTTCGTCATTGATTTCTGATTCTCTCTTTCCTTTAACTTTGCCTTTTCCTTCATCATCTTTTGTGTTTTTATTACCTTTTTCTTCTTTATCTGGATCTTTCTCTGCATGTCTTTCCTTTTCTTTACCATTATTTCCTTTATCTTCAAAACTCTCCTTTTCTTTCTTGGGCTTCCTGTCCTTTTAGTACACCCAACTCACTCTTCTTTACTTGGGATTCGGGTCCTTTTGGTACACTCACCTCAGTGCTCATCACTTGGGGTTCCGGTCCTTTTGGTGCACTCACCTCAGTGTTCATCACTTGGGGTTCCGGTCCTTTTGGTGCACTCACTTCAGTGTCCTTTACTTGGAATTCTTGTCCTTTCAGTACACCTGTCTCACTCTTCTTTTCTGGGACCTCCTGTTTCTTTGGCACATCTGCCTCACTCGTCTCTACATGGCCTTCTTGTCCTTTTGGTATCTGCAACTCACTCTTCTTTTCTTGGGCTTCCTCTCCTTTTGATACATTTGCCTCCCTCTTCTCTACCTGGGCTTCCTGCACACCTGCCTCACTCTTCTTCACTTGGGACTCCGGTCTTCTTGGTACACCCATCTCACTCTTCTCCACTTGGACTTCCTGTCCTTTCAGTACAACTGGCCCGCTCTTCTTTACCTGGACTTCTTGTCCTTTTGGTACCCCTGACTCACTCTTCTTTATTTGGGCTCCCTGTCCTTTTGGTACACTCATCTCACTGTTTTTTAGTTGGATTTTCTGTCTTTTTGGTATTCCAGTGTCACTGTCTACCTTGACTTTCATTCCTGTCTTGTTTTTCTCTAAATCGGTGCCTTTTTCTTCTCTTTTTGGCTCCTTTATGTTTGTTGCTATCAAGCATTCAACAGAATTCATAAATATGATGTCATTCTTTAGTGCTTCCTTGTTTTCCTCTTGGCTGTTCTGAGACCTTGCAGTGTCTCCACTTTTTAGAATCTGGATTTTGGAACATGATTTTTTTGCAAGTTCTTCATCCATGTAACCTGGCAATATAACTGGGCATACAACAAAAGGGCATGATTTAGGTATCAAGTATTTTCTCTTTATTTCTATTTTTTTCCCTTGACACTGGTTTCTTTTTCTGTCTTAAAGCTGACAAACTGAAATTTTTCTGAATCTCAGGTTATCTAAAATGATGGCTCTCTATACATAAAATCATGAAAGTATCGATAAAATTCTGGACTATTTTCAATAATTTGAAGACTAATGAGAGAAAAGGTAAAATATACTGTAAATGAACTGATATTTGTTCAGTGGATTATGGCTAATGAATAGTGCTTAGTGGCTGACAGAGGATGTATTCTGAAAAGAAATAGAATTTATTTTGAGGAAAAATTGTGGGAGGAAGTAATAATTATATTTGTCAATAGAAAAAGGAAACAAATATGATTTCAATATTGAATAAAAGCATATCTTATTATGGAAAACTAACAAAGTATGAGCTGATAATTATTAAGTGCTCACCACATACCAAGTGCTCACTGTTCTGAGCACTTTATATATTAAATCATTTGATACAACAACCAGGTAGGGTATTATTAACCTCGTTTTACAAATGAAGAAACTGAGGTACAGAACGCTTAAGTGAATATGAATAAGGTTATATAATCAGTAGGTGGTGGAGCTGGGATCTGAACCTGAATAGTCCGACTCCAGAGTTCAGTTTTGACCATTATCATAGAGTGCTTCTTGCAATATCTGCTAACTCTGCAAAAATTTCAGGTCCTTTGATCGTGTTTAGGTAAATCAGCTCTGTTGCACCTCAATTCCTGTGTGATTTAACAAACTTGAATTTATTGGCTTCTGCTAGAGATTTTTTATTTGCTTTTTCTTTTCTTTTCTTTTTAAAAAAGGTAATATGGTTCCCTGAATTAAATAAAAGAAATATTTGAACCACCAAGGAGTTGTATGGGCTCTTTCTGTGGAGCAGAGGCATATCTTGCTTTGAGAAAAATCTAATATTTAATATTTAATATAGTAGAAAGAACACAGAATATAAAAGCTGAATCAGAAGACTTGGGCTGGGATGGTGGCTCACACCTGTAATCCCAGCACTTTGGGAGGCTGAAGTGGGCAGACCACTTGAGGTCAGGAGCTGGAAACCAGCCTGGCCAACATGGTGAAACCCTGTCTCTACTGAAAATACAAAAATTAGCCAGGGATTTTGGCATACACGTAATCCCAGCTATTCGGGAGGCTGAGACAGGAGAATTGCTTGAACATGGGAGTCAGAGGTTGCCGTGAGCTGAGATTGTGCCACTGAACTCCGGTCTGGGTGACAGAGAAAGACTCCATCTCAAAAACAACAACAACAACAACAAAAAACAAGTTTACTCTTCCTGCTAGCTGGGTAGCTGGGTTTAATGGGTTTTAAGGTAAATCTGTTAATCCTCAAAGACTCACTGTTCTTATATTTAGTTTGATCTGCTCACTTGAAGAGTTTAAAAGTTATTAAATATTGTAGACAAATGTTAAAGAAATATAGCCTTGGCCCGGCGCGGTGGCTCACGCCTGTAATCCCAGCACTTTGGGAGGCCAAGGCGGGTGGATCACGAGGTCAAGAGATCGAGACCATCCTGGTCAACATGGTGAAATCCCGTCTTTACTCAAAATACAAAAAATTAGCTGGGCGTGGTGGCGCAGGCCTGTAATCCCAGCTACTCAGGAGGCTGAGGCAGGAGAATTGCCTGAACCCAGGAGGCGGAGGTTGTGGTGAGCCGAGATAGCGCCATTGCACTCCAGCCTGGGTAACAAGAGCGAAACTCCGTCTCAGAAGAAAAGAAAAGAAAAGAAAAAGAAACATAGCCTTTGGAGACTGACTGATTCAAATCCTGCCTCCGCACCCACCTAGCTGGGTGACATTTGGCAAACTTTACTTCTGTCTGTAAATGGGGCAATAGTAGAAGCTACTTCAAAGAGCTGTTATGAGATCAAATAATGTTATCTAAGTAAAGGCACTCGGTACAGTGCATGGAGCATAATAAATAGTCAATAAATATTGGCCATTACTACTTCCCAATGAAATAGTACAGGAAAAAAACTCCTGATTCAATCAAGACAAGGCATTCTTAGTTTCCAACAAATAACTTAGAGGAATGGTTACTTGCATTATGGGAAAATTTCTTGCTTAAAAATGAATTATCAGACTTTTTGTGTTTTACATTTAGGGCTTGACGTCTGAAAAATTGATATACACAGAACTTCAGAATTTGATCAGTTATAAAAATGAGGCACACCTGTATTAGGTGAGAAATTAATTATAAATCAAAAGGGATGCTGCAGTTCGGTGTTTTCTTTTTTAATTTTCAGCTTTTGACATCCAAATAAAAATAATGCTAGAAAACTTGCAGTAATTGCTTTCTGAACCTTTTTGCACATTTCCCTCCTAGAGTTCTTCACTAAAATATGATTACTGACATTTTATTCTAGACAAATCAGTTTTCAATTTCCTAATGAAAATCAGTGGTAATATATTTTCAAGCATTGCTAAATTGAGAAAAATAGTCAGAATATTTTGATCTTTGACAGTGCTACCAGGGGACACTGTTTTGTTTTGTTTGGGGGTGTGGTGTGTGGAATGGTAAGATCATGCTTTTTCATTGAAGCTTCTAATCTTAAGAATTTCATGGAATGTACTCCTCATAAAAGCTGATTTTTCTTAAGCTATGGATATTTTTAGTTTTACTGTCTCTTGGGGGTAATTATTTGCTACTGTGTGTAATACTACGTGACTCATTTTAACCTAAATTTACCTTCTATGTTATATAGGTTTTGTAAACCAAAATTAAATATAGGATTTCCTGAGGCACCCAGTGTTTATTCTAGCTACACCTTTCCTAATTTCACAGAATTTGAACAACGTTTATTCTTTCTCTCACTACGCTGAGGAAGTTCCTCTAGTTACTTCTAATAGAATCTTCATGCCCTTATTTTAATATATTTGCTGTCATCTTTTAAGTCTTGAATTTAATTAACATAGATTAGATTTACAAGATTTACTTTTGAGGAATCCAGCTATCCCATAAAGTAGAGGTTCACTTTTATTTCAAATTTGCATTGCAGAAGTAAGCCACCAATCATTATTCTACCACATTCTAAGTTATTTTCTTTCTTCTCCCAGATTTCAAGATAGTTCATACATCTTCTCTTTCTCTTGGACCTCATAATCATCCTACACTTACAATGTGAATCTTTCATAGTATAAAGACTTGTAAGCCGTGGCTGCAAGTACATTTATTGCAGGCAGTAGCCCATCTACAAAATTCTAATACAGTCAAAATATTTAATCAAGACTTTGGGGATCATAGTAATATATTCAAGCTGGTTCAAAATCATTATTAAAATTTTAAAATGGGATTAATTTTTGTTAAAGCTATAAGATATGAAATAGCTATCACATTAACAATTCTGTCTAAATGATACTTAGTGTAGAAAATAGAATGTGGGCTTTATTAGGAAACTAATCTTAGGTTCTTAATCTAGTAGTTGGCAGGGAGAGCACAGACTGTAAAAGATCTGTTCAGTATCAGAGGGATGAATCATTAGAGTTCTCAGCCTGTGAATTACATTTTAAAAGATCATACACTCATTAGTTGAATGAGGAGATGAGAAATAAGGGACCCAGTTTGCTAGGCTGATGATGTTTGTTAGTTTAATCTGTCTTAAACCTTTCTTTGAACATTGAATTAAACCTTCACCTCCTTTTTCTAAAAATATCAACTGGGGCCAGATACAATGGCTCATGCCAGTAATCCCAGCACTTTGGGAGGCTGAGATGGGAGGATCACTTGAAGCCAGGAGTTCAAGACCAGCCTGGGCAACATAGTGAGACCCCCCCATCTCTATTTTTTAAAAGAAATAGAAAAAAAATTAGTTGGGAAGATTGTGTTTGAAAGATTATATTAATAAGACTATATGTTTTACAAAAATTTTTTTAAAAAGATTAAATGGATTTTTCTCTGGCAACTTAAAAAATTAGTATTCCTTAAAAATTAATTACCTCTGGGAAGAGACTTGACCTGTGATCCCTTCTCAGAGCCCTTGTATTAGTTAGGGTTCTTCTGAGTCAAGTTGACATATAACATCAACCATCAGAGCCCACCTTTTTAAAAAAAAGTTCGATAAGAGAAACTCACAAGATCACAGTCCTATCACTTTTTCTATGTGAGGAGAACGTTTGAGGGATGTAGGCACATTATGATTATTCTGAATGCATACTATTTCTTGTACCATGAATCAAAATAAATTAATTGTCCTGGCTGGGTGCCAGTGGCTCATGCCTGTAATCTCAGCACTTTGGGAGGCCAAGGAGGGCAGATCCCTTGAGGTCAGGAGTTCAAGACGAACCTGATCAACATGATGAAATCCTGTCTCTATTAAAAATACAAAATTAGTCAGGCATGGTGGCACACACCTATAATCCCAGCTACTTGGGAGGCTGAGGCAGGAGAATCACTTGAACCTGGGAGGCAGAGGTTGCAGTGAGCCGAGATCAAGCCATTGCGCTCCAGCCTGGGTGATGAGAGCAAAACTTCATCAAAAAAAAAAAAAAAAAAAAGAAAGAAAGAAATTAATTGCCCTTTCAACTTCATCTCCCTGCCGTCACCTCTCTGCAAACCCACTCTCTTTCTAGTGTGACCTGAGAAAGAAAATGAGGCTTAAACATAATTAAATATAAGGACATACTTTGTTTGGAATATTCGAAATGCTTGAAATGTGTCTCACTAGGTTTAAGTCTTATTTGCTTCTTTTGATCATATATTTACAGAATTAAACAAAAGTTATTATTCTATTTTGTTTTGTACGGTTTCTTTGCCTGAAGAGCTGAGACATGTATTAGGTAATCCCAATAAAGAGAAATCTGCATTCAGAAAACAGTTTAAAGAGTCAAACATTAATTAAGATGGGGTCTTCTATTTTTAAAAGGATTCTTTTGTGTACATTCAACCAGCTTTTCTGTAGATGTATATTTGTATTTACAAACATTTTATAAAGTTTCATGACTAATTACAAAAAATTCATTTGTGATTCAGTATAGGAGGCAATGTGTTGGTATGGGAAGAGTGTGTATTTTGGAGATAAGACATCCTGGGTTTAAATCCTGACACCAATGTTTACCAACTCTTTAACCTCGGGTAAATATCTGAGTTAGTTTCCTAATCTGTAAAATGGGGAATAATAATAGCTACCAGGCAGGGATATGGTAAGAATAAGAGACAATAAGAGGTGCTACTTTTGCAAGTGCCTAGCACAGTGCACAATATATAGTCAACGCTCAATACCTACTGTCTTTCAAAGGTAAAGTTATTTAGAAGGCAACAGAAAGTAGATAGGATTTTGTTTTTAACTAGTTTTTCACCCTGTTAATATGATTCAGAGGGACCTCACGTATAACTAAAAAAGGGTTCTAAATTCCCAGCAAAGAACTAATGCAATTCAGAAACCAATCTCTTCATTACGTTTTGCTGAGAATCAGGGAGGAGATTCTTTTTTTTTTTTTTTTGAGACGGAGTTTCGCTCCTTACCCAGGCTGGAGTGTAATGGCGCAATCTCGGCTCACCGCAACCTCCGCCTCCTGGGCTCAGGCAGTTCTCCTGCCTCGGCCTCCCGAGTAGCTGGGATTACAGGCACGCGCCACCATGCCCAGCTAATTTTTTGTATTTTTAGTAGAGACGGGGTTTCACCATGTTGACCAGGATGGTCTCGATCTCTTGACCTCGTGATCCACCCACCTCGTCCTCCCAAGGTGCTGGGATTACAGGCGTGAGCCACGAGATTATTTTTTAGAGCCTAGAAGCTGACCAGAGATTGTGGCATCCTTTCATATGAACTTCATCTTCTCTACCGCAATCTCTTAAAAAGTAGTTATTTAAAAATCTGGGGCTAAGCGCAGTTGCTCATGCTGCAGTTCTAGCACTTTGGGAGGCCAAGGCAGGAGGATCACTTGAGCCCTGGAGTTCAAGACCAACCTGGGCAACATAGTGAGATCCTGTCTCAAAAAGAAAAGAAAACACTTGGAAGTTTCTGGAGGACAGGAACGTTCAAAATGACCTTAGAAGCACAAGCCTCTATTTTGGGAATAGAAACAGGTCAGAAAAGAATTATAGCCAATGTTAAATACTGGAGTTGAGAATAGATATGAAACTTACCCACAGGAGACAGTGCTAAAAACAAAATACAAAAGAAAGATCACTGGAGATTTTCTAACTTAAGGAGAACCCACCTTCCAATAATATCCTTCCTAGGTAAAATCAGAAACAGGATTTGAAAGGAGCATAAAACCCTCTGTTTCATCCTCAGGAGTGTTGCTGGCCAATGCTCCACATCCCACTCCACAGAGAGGATTATTTTTAGGATGCCACTTAGTTAATACAGGGATTTGAAATCAGGGGTAGGTGATATCAATTCTACTGAAATTCGAACTATTGCATTTTCTACCTTTCTCTGTTCTTTCATAAGTCTTGAATATGGTCTTCTCCAAAACAGTTTTTTGCTCACTGTTCTGGTCAGTTTGAAAAATGTGTATTGTTGGTCAATTACCGAAATCACATCTCGTCCTGACACATATTCTTTTTGCCAGTCTTAGAGGATTTTCTTTTTTAGTAAAAATTATTAGTTGGCAGATTATAGCACAGAGGAAATAGCCTCTGTTGTGATAGATTAGCTGGGAATATATGCTGCCAATAATCTTTGGTAGTAAATAACTAGAATCAAACACTAGACTATTATACTTTGTTACAAAAGGAAAATAGATAAGAATTAAAATTGAAATACTTGTTGAAGAAATATTGACTACTCTAAGGTAGAAGAACTTGTAATACAAGAACAGTTGGGAAAAAGAACATAAAGGTCCTAGACACAGAAATAGGTGAGGCAAGGAAATGATCCAAACTTACTGATTTTTCCAGAACTGTCCACTGAAATAGACAAAGGCAAACACATTAGTAGGTTCTGGGCTTTCCCTTCTTCCCAGTCCCTAAGCCTCTGCATTGAGTGGGATTTGTGTCATTAACAATTAAATTTCATTTATTTAAATGTGAAGAAACTTCATTTCTCTTCTCCCTTCTCTTTGCCCATTGTAGTTTACAGAGACCTTGTGATAAGCTACCTTAAATCACCTTTACTTATCATTGATCATTAGCAATTTTGTCTAGAATGTCAAGATTACAATTTATAAAATATAGGACATATAATGGTCTTGCTTAGAAGATGTGCGCTAACATTATTTACTGACATTGTTTGATATAAAATTTTTTGAAAACTATATTTTTCTGAGACAGGGTCTCAGTTGCCCAGGCTGGAATGCAGTGGCACGAACATGGCTCACTGCACCTTCCACTTCCCAGGCTCAAGTGATCTTCCAGCTTCAGCCTCCTGAGTAGCTGGGGCTACAGGTGCATGCTACTGCAGCCAGCTAATTTTTGTATTTTTTTGTAGAGACAAAGTTTTGTCATGTTGCCCAGACTAGTCTGGAACCCTGAGCTCAAGCAATCCACATGACTTGGCTTCCCAAAGTGCTGGGATTACAGGTGTAAGCCACCATGCCTGGCCTGATATGAAATATTTAAGGTATAATTGTTACCAGGTACTGAAATATAGGTATACCTCTCATGTTGATGTTATTTGATAACCCTAATATAGAACGCACAAAATAGGCTGGTGTGGTGGCTCACACCTGTAATCCCAGCACTTTGGAAGGCTGTGAGGCAGGTGGGTGGTTTGAGCCTAGGAGTTCAAGACTAGCCTGGGCAACATAATGTGACTCCCATCTCTGCAAAAAAAAAAAAAAAAGGAAAAAAGAAAAAAATTATCTAGATGTGGTGGCACATGCCTGCAGTCCCAGATGCTTGGGAAGCTGAGGTGCTGAGGATTACTTAGGAAGTCAAAGATGCAGTGGGCCATGATCACGCCAGTGCACTCTAGCCTGGGTGAGTGAAACTCTGTCTTTAAAAAAGCACAAAATAATAAGAAAGCATGAAGTTGTAAGAAACATAATACCAAGATTGTTTACCAGAGATAAATATGTGGAGGTAGGGTATTTAAACCCTAGAGCAGGAGTTGGCAAAAGTACAGCCCATGGAATAAATCTAGCATGTTGGCTATTTTTGCATGTCCTGTGAGGTAAGAATGAATTTTACATATTTAAATAGTTGAAATAATAATAATAATATTTTGTGGCACATGAAAATCATATGAAATTCAAATTTCAATATCTAAAATAGTATTTTATTGGGACATATCCATGCTCATTCTTTTATATATTGTCTATATTTGTGCGACAGCAGCAGAGTTCAGTAGTTGTGACAGAGACTTTATGGCTTACAAAACTTAAAGTATTTGGCTGGGCATGGTGGTTTATGCCTGTAATCCCAGCACTTTGGGAGGTTAAGACAAGAGGATCATTTGAGGCCAGGATTTTGAGACCAGCCTAGGCAACATAGCAAGACTCCGTTTCTACAAAAAAATAAGAAAAAGTTAGCCAAGCATGGTGGTGCACACCTGTAGTCTCAGCTACCCAGGAGTTTGAGGCAGGAGAAGTGCTTGATCCCAGGAGTGGAGGTTGTAGTGAGCTATGATCGCACCACTGCACTCCAGCCTAGGTGACAGAGCAAGATCCTGTCTCAAAACAAAACAGAAACACCAAACAAACCAAAAAACACAAAAACCCAACAAAAACAAGCACAAAACATTACAAACATTTATAGAAAAAATTTGCTCACCCCAGCCCTACAGAGAACTAATGTACTAAAAATACATTAGGAACTTACTAGTGTGGACTTGAGGTACTCCTGAAAATCAAAACAAGAAAATGGGTTAATGGTAGCTTTTTTGGAACAGAAATATAGTTCTTTCCTACTCCCAATTCCCTAGTTCTTTTTCCTGGGATACCATCAAGACCTTTAGCAGAATACAATGAAATATGATGGGACAACAGATCCCTTGGTGTGTTATAAGAACCTGACACTTTCTACCACCTTCATGACTCTCACTGTGATTCAACTTTTTGTTGTCTTTCTAACGGAACTCTCTGCTTTCACTCTTGCCTCCCGGTCAATCCCAGTGCAGCAGTTAGAGGAATGCTTTAAAAGGATCAGCAAAGCACCTGCTTAAGATCCACCAATGATTCCCCATCTTGGTTGAACAAAAGTCAAAGTCACAACGGTGGTTTTCAAAGATGATCCTGGAAGATCTGTCCCTCCAAATCTCTCTTATAGCTTCTTTTCATGTCACTTTTCATTCCGTTCCAGCTATATGGTACTTGCTTTCTTGCTTTTCCTCAAATAGACTGGAAATGTTCCTACCCTAGGGTGATTTACTTGTTATCTTTGCTGATTGAACTATTCCCCCCTCAGATATCTGCATGGCTAAATCTCTCATCTATTTCACCTTCCAGCTAGTAGTTCTAGCAATCGCTGAGAATGAGGTGTTAAACTTTCCAGCTGTCGTTGTGGGTTTTTCTGTTTCTCTTCAGTTTTAGTAGGTGTTTCTTTTTCACTGGATTTTGAAACACTGTTGTTTGGTGCATACATATGTAGGATTTCTATGTCTTCTTGATGTATTGATATTTTCATCATGATATAAGGTTCCTCTTTTGTCCCTGGTAATTTTTTTTGCATCGAGGTTCACTTTATGTGATACTAATATTCCACTTCTGCCTTTTTTTTTAAATAATGCTTTCATGGCATATATTTTTCATTCTTTTTACTTTTATTGTTAAATTTGAAGTGACTTTCTTGTAGATAGGATATAGTTAGGTCATATTTTTAATGTATTCTGGTAATCTTTTAAAAAAATTGGTGTATTTAGACCTACACAAAATAAATTTGTGCGAGTTGCATGATTATTATGAGAGGCAAGTCCCAGTTCTTTCAAGGAGGGGAAGTCAGAAAAGGCTTAATCTCTGCAGCAGTAGTGGTCCAAGTTTTGATGTAATAAACTTTATGGAGGAAAAGACAATATCAATCTTTTTTATCTTGAATTCCATTTGAGTGTTTTCTTTGTTTGGATTTTGCAGTCTGTCCCTTCTTCTATTCTCACTTGCTACATCTTCTAATTTTTATTATTCCTACCTTTTATCTTTGGAGTTTTGTTTTGTGACCCTGTGGCTTCAGATTGTGATATTAACTTCTTGGTGTATTTTTTATGGTCTTCACAGTAGATTTTGCCAGCATTATTTCCTCTTGTAACTTAACTCTCTGACCAGAAGAACAACGTGTTTTTGGTCCTTTCTATGTGGTTTCTTGTTTCTGTGGGCCTTTGCTTTATAAGAAAGAAAGAAAGAAAGAAGAGAAAAGAAAAGAAGAAACGAAGGAAGAAAGAAACACCTAAACCAAACCAAAATGAAAACCAAAAACAACAGAAGTGTCAGTGCAAATACAGGAATCAAGATGCTACAAAAGATCAGAGAGAACAGAGAATGACAGTAGGAGTTTACTGGTTGCTATTGGACCAATTGCTAAAAAGAAAATAAAACAAATTAGTTTTTTTTTTTTTAAATTACGTACTGAGTTCCCATTGAGTGTCCACTTGGAACACCAGAAAATAGATCTTCGGGAAATATTAAATCTTCTGGGACTATGCTATCTCTTATTAAGTCAATTTTAACCCCACTTTAATAACTTAAATATTCAGTCCATTTTGGATGGCGTGTATGATGGGTTATATGAGTAAAGGTCACTTTTTCTAATGAAATAAAAAAAATTTTAAACATTTTTAAACTAGGGCAAAAGGTCACTGGAGACTGGTTAATGAAGGTTACTAATTTACATTTTCTCTTCATCATCTTCTTTTGTCTTTCATGTTTTCATTTCAAATCTCTACCATTATACCAGCTCTCACTGTATTCTTTTTTACAGTACAGAAAGTTTATTTGTAATTATGTTTTAAAATGTTTGTAATAATAATTTTCTAAATTTTTTCTTTCCGATAATCTCAAATTTAATCAGAATTTTAAAGCTGGCTTGGGAAATAACATATGTAAGAAGAAACCTTTCAGATATTTTAGGATACTGAAGAATAGTAGACTTAAGAGAAAAGAAATTTATATGTTAGGCTTACATCTTGCTATTACTGAATGTTTATGTCCCCCTCGAATCTGTATGTTGAAGCGCTAATCTCTAATGTGATGGCGTTTGAGGTGGGGACTTCGGGAGGTAATTAGGTTATGAAGGTAGAGTCCTCACGATTGGGAGTAGCATCCTTATAAGAAGAGACATGAGGGAGGTTGTTTCTGACTTGTGAGGATACAATAAAGCAACTGTCTATAGCCCAGAAGAGCACCCTCACCAGGAACAACATCAGCCGGCACTTTGGTCTTGGAATTTCCAGTCTCTAGACAGTGAGGGATAAATGTTTCTTTATCAATTTACGGTAGTCTATTATAGCAGAGTGAACTGACTAAGACACACCCTACGCTAAAATACCAACAAAAAATAATGTGATTTTCTTAGGACATGGAGACAAACGTTCTTACTAGCACATTTCCCAGAGGTATTAGAACAGGGCAGAAAGGATGTTATAATGATAAACAAGCAATCCTAAGAGCTTACAGTTTCCAATCCTCTTCTCCAGTCCTAAATCTTTCGTGGTGAGTATCTTTAGAGTGCGAAAAATGTAGCTGAGATTAGCACCTTTTCTTTGTCTTTTCAGTTTTTATGAGAATTTAAAACTCTTCAAGAGTTAGTAACACTTATTTTAAGTTTTGCTTCTCCTTTTTTTCTTTATTTCAGTATCTAATCTCAAAATATCTGTTCTATTTTTCACTGTTCATTATATTCTTCTTCTAGATTTTCATTACTAAGTTTACTTATTCCTTGCCTTACTGTGGCAGGCCAGGTCTCACTAACGCAGGCCTTCGTAACAACTGTTCCAGCACTGATGAGTGGTTAAGTTAAATATTGAAAGCTGATAGAGCCAGGCTGGAATGTAACAAAAGCCCACCAAGAGTTTTACCTAGGCCTTTCCTGGGCCTTGCGGCATGACAAGATAATGAAGGAATTCTTAACAGGACCCATTTAGGATTAAAACAAATTTATTAGGGGTCTGAAGAAACTCCTCAGGCCTCCACAAACAGGTTTCTTGGGGGTCTGAAGGAACTCCAAAAACCTCCATGATTTAGCAGGAGGCAAGATAAGGGTAATCACCCCAGCACCCGGACCCATTTAGATTAAGTAAATTTACTGAGGCTCCAGAGGAAGGTCTTCAGGACTCACATTTTAATCTTAGATTAGAAGAAGTTAATCACTTATGTCTTTAGATGAATGCGCACTTACACATGGACATATAGCTTAGAAGGTGTATCGGCTCTGGAAAACTTCGTGATTTTGAGTTGATCTGGCAAAAATTTCCAGGCCTTCTTTCTGTAGCCAGTTACAGAAATAAAAACTATCTTCTTTCCCAGTTCATCTGCATCTCATTATTGGGCCATGAAGAAAAGCAGCTTGACCTTCAGTTTGGTCCTGGAACATTACTTCAAAAAATATCTGAGCTATCTTATTTTAGGAATTCTGTTTTTTTATGTCAAGTCCATATCACATCTGTCCTCTTTATCTTTTGCATCAATAAATTTTTCACTTAAAATAAATAATTTTAGAAAATACAGAAAAATCTGAACACAAAAGAGATAGGGAAATTTGCCAATTAGGTTTTGAAGTAACATAAATGAGTACAACCAATCAGAGCATGGGAACCACACTCTATAGAAAGCTAAAGGACATAGAATTGCCAAGCAAACAGCAATGTTGTTGAGCTTTTGAAAATAACTCAAATTAATATAACACAACATTCAAGCTTCCACAAATTTAGTTCTAATCATATTCTTTACAGTGGGAGAAAAGAATTCCTGAGACCACTCTTTTAAGAGAGAAGCAGCAATGAAATATCATCAATCCCTCTGTTGTTTTTGTCTAGTGGCCCTAAGGCTAGAGGGCCAGGCTAGAGGCATGAGCCTACCCACAACTTTATATAAACTGTAGGTAACTAGAGTGGTGGGTGATAACATGCAGTATTAGGAATTATTAATATTTAGATATTAGTTTTCAGTTCATATCAAGCATTAAATTCATACAATTATAGAGAAGCATTATTTATGAATTATGAGCTAAGAGTGATTGTAATGACTCTTTTTACAATAAATTAAAAATATATTCTTTGCTCATAGGTCATTTAGAAAAGAGTTGAAATGTAGTCATTTGATCAAAACGGCCTTGTGTATGAGGCTGAAGGAATATGGAAAGCTGCTGAAAGATTGGCAAATTTATCAGAAAATCTCATTCAAATCAAAGTCATACCTCCACCTAATGTCTTGAAAACAATTTGTCTTAATGCTAGTGTTCCTAAACACTAGTTAAGAACAGCAAAGGTTTTATCATCTGACAAAAATATCCAGCTTTCTCACAACACTCAACGTGCTTGAACTAGCTAACGTTAGCTTAGAAGACGCTCTTTCTGACTGCCAGATAAAGGGCTAACCTATGACAGCTACTTCAGAATCCCATATAAAAACAGATCCTCTGTGGGGTGTTACTTTGAAAGAGTAGCAAACATGGCCTCCCTTGCTGATAGAGTCGGTGAGGCCATCATCCCACAATAATTGTAACATGAAAATTAAAGTCTATTATAGGTGCAGAGAGAGAGAAAGTAGGTATCAACATGTTTTTTAGGAAATTGGGGAAAGACAAAATTTCATTTTCATGGGTGGTTTTTGAAAATAGTGTTTCTCTTAAAAATTCTTTACTGAAAAGTGTGCTGAAGCAGATCACTGAAACATAGTAGGAGGAAGAAATTCAGG